CCATCTCTTTAGATGTTTTACGCTAGCTAAAAATTCAATCAAATTTCAAAAGACAAAATAGATATTTGGAAATTACCTTTTTTAGTTTTCCAAATTTAGCTTAGATTTTGAAACGTTAAAAAAAATGTAAAGTAGATAGCAAAACAAAGAAATGCATCGATGTATTTACAAGTTTAATTTTCAAGAACAGAAAATAAACAAAATAAAATGGTTATAAAATGGGGTCTAAACTTTCATTTTTATTATATTTTTTGTTTCTAAACTTCCTAACGTTTCACTTTAGTTTTTAGTCCAATTAGTATATTTTGTCAACATTTAACTATCGATATTAATGACATCGACTTGTTAAAATCGAAATGAAAAATTTGGTGCGTAGTTACAGCCTTTTAGATAATTCAAGAGCTAATTATATTCAATAATCAAAATTAAGGGATTAAATTTATAATTTAACCTCGTTTTTTTAAGAAACTATTTAATCGAAACTTAACAGAGACAAAATTGTGCTCATCTACCAACTTTTGGTCGAATGTCAGGTTTCGAAGAATATTTAGAGTTAGGTCAACTAATTAACAAAAATTAACGACAAAAAGAAATTAACGACAAAAAGGTATAAGTTTTTAGGTAAAGTTTTAGATACTAAAACATAATATTTGTAACTTTTTACGTATCAAAACGTAACATTTGAAAGTTTAGAGATCAATTTCAACCTATTTTAGTTCATAACTGCCATTGAAACTCATATTTGTTTTCGTAGAGAAGTTTATCTGGGATAAAAAATGGAATTTAAAAAATATTTATAAGAGAAAAGAAAAACTAAAAAAAAAAAGAACAAAGAACAAAGAAACGAAATGATCACAAAGATCAGTCATTAAAATCTAATACAATCAATTGCGCCTAAAATGTTTGCTTTTTGACTCAAAAAGATTCAATTTGTCCAAAGTGATTTCAGTGAGTTTACCTCAGTCCTTAGCAATATAATTCAGTATTAATCATACCATTTCCTTTTCTTATGGATTATTTCTTTTTCTTTCTCCTTTTTTTTTTGTTTGGAGGAAAGTGATGGATTAATTATTTCTTGTAGCATGATTTTATTAGGTAAATTATTTCCTCAATTTTGACCACGGTCAATATTAAGTATGAGAATGGTTAAGGGATAACTGACCGTAGATCTACATATCTGCGATAATATGATATTGTCTACTTTGGACATAAATCTCGTGACTTTGCTTTTGGTATCAATTAAAAAGATCTCATGCTATAAACTGTAGCGAATGTGCGCATATTATTTCCCTTATTCCGCCGAAGTAAAATACTATATGAAGTTTAGTAAATTTAATTAAAATAAATGTTATTTTAAACTTCAATGTTTTTTTTTCTTCCTACATTCAAAAATAAAATATAAAATATTTGTGTTTTACTCGTATGCTATATCAAATGAAACTTTGGGTTTTAATAAATGGTGAAATTAAAATTCTTTTATGTCGCTGATTTTTTTTTTTAAAATAAGAATTGTGAGTTGGATATTTCTAGATGTGTTTTAATGTTTTTAGCTAGATTTTGAGCATTTTATGGTCGAGCTTGGACGCTTTTTTACTTGATTTTGAGCAAATTGGTGATTGAATTTTGTATGGTTTATTGTTTAGTTCTTGAGTAATTTCTAAATTGAATTTTAATGATATTTAATATCATGAAAAGTTTAGAGTTTAATTTTATGAAAAAAAATTTCGAGGTGAAATTAACTCAAATGATTTTTTAACTAAAAAAATAGTAAAAATGACCTTTAAAAACAAAAACTTTGAAAAATACTTTGCTAAAATATGTATTTTAATCGCTACTTTTTCAGTCAAGAAAAGAAAAAAACTAAGTATGATTGACAACTCTTTTTAAATGTTAGAGAGATAGAGAGATATATGAGAAGAGAAAAATTCATTTAGTAACGAAAATAAAAGAAAAGTTTAGAGAGATAAATAATATAGATAGAAAAGTTAGAAAGAGTAAATTTAGAAAATAGAGAAAAATATTTAGAGAGAAAAGTTAGAAAGCTAAGAAATATGTTAGAGAAAGATAAAGAAATGTTAAGAGATAAAAAGAAAAATTTTAGAGTGAGAAAAGTTAGAGAGAAAATTAAGAGATTGAGTAAATATATATATATATAAGAGAAAGAGAGATAAAATATTTAGTGAGATAAACTTTTAGAAAAATAAATTTTTTTTTAGAACAATAAAGATGAGGATTCGAACTCACGATCTTTACCGAAGATAAGCGTCTTGATCAGTTGTACTATATTTATAAATATAAGTTAAAAGATATAAAACATATATGTTAGAGTGAAAAATA